GGACTTCTGTCTAAAACATATAAAGAATTTAAAAAAAATCAGACCCCCAAAATTCAAAGACCCACTTCAAAAATGGGCACGTGAGATGAATACACACTTCTCAGTTGAAGAAATACAAATGGCAAACAATAAATGAAAAAATGTTCATCATCATTAGTCATTAGAAAAATGCAAATTAAAACCACACTGAGATTCCATCTCACACCTGAAAGAATGGCCAGGATCAAGAAAACCACCAACAACAAATGCTGGAGAGGCTGTGTGGAAAAAGGAACTCTCCTTCACTATTGGTGGGAGTATAGACGGTGCAACCATTGTGGAGGTCAGTCTGGAGATTTCTCAGAAAGCTGGGATTGGAAGTCCCATTTGCTCCAGCTTCTAGGCCTATTCCCAGAAGAACTGAAAGCATCATACCACAGTGACATATGTGCACCCATGTTTATAGCAGCACAATTTGTAATCGCCAGATCTTGGAAACAACCCAAGTGTCCATCAACTGAGGAATGGATAAAAAAGTTGTGGTATTTTTATACAATGGAGTACTACTCAGCTATAAAGAAGGATCACATAGAGATATTTATAAATAAATGGATGCAGTTTGAGACCATAGTCAGAAGTGAAAGAAATCAAACTCACATGTATAAATACTAAATAGTTTCCCTATTATAAGAAATAATTCAAATATATAAAAGTATGTGGTAATCATGATTTCCCATTACAAGGCTTTGAAGACTTATAAAGTTGTCACTCATTAATTGGAATGGCTTTATTCTGGGCTTTTTGATATTATTGCCTGTGATGATATGAACAGCTATTTTGAAGACAGCAAGACATCATAATAGCTAGTGCTGATTTAATATCATCTTGTTTTGAAGTCCCACCAAACTGTTGTTCTTCTGTCTCTATTGGTTTTATCATGTTGTATCTTACTGGATTTTATTATATATGATAGTATAAACAAAAATATTTAGAGGCAAAGAGATAATATAGAAACCATTGTTCATTTTCCATTAGCTGGTTCTAAATACCCTGTAATACTTTCATCCTCTTGAATGGTTTTACACTGTCTTGATATGTTTGATGCTATAGTATACGAAGTTATATTCAAATATTTCAAGGAAAGAGACACTATGGTAACTACTATTAAGTTGGGTTATCTTGTGGTGAAGCACTAGGTTGCTAAAATTGTTATTCTTTGACCTATATTGTTATGTTGTTACATCCTCTTTTATCTCAATCTCCCCCTTTTTCTTAAAAAAATTATTTATTATTAATTTTTAATTAAGAGAAAAAATCAAAAAAATTAGCAGGATATATTATAGTAACTTTTTTGATTTCCTATTAACTTGATTTGAAGTCCTGTATTACTCCCACTATCTTGTTTTGACTGATTTTACTCTGTTCTGTTCTGTTTGATAGTATCAAGTTTGAGGGTATAGGCAACTACTTTGAAGGCAAGAAGATTCACTATGATGCCCATTCTGGTTTGACTATTATCTTCTTTGAAGTCCTGTAATGTTTCCAATATTTAGGTTTTATTGGTCTTGTTATGTACTGTTTTGTTCAATTTTATTATATCTAATGATATAGGCAATTCTTTTTAAGGTAGCAAGAGGCATATGGTGACCATTGTTGATCACCTTGTATTCTGTTTTTACATCATGTGCTATGTCTATCCTTTGTTTTGACTGACTGATTTGTTTTGTCATATTTGGTTTTATTCTCTTCCAAAAAAAGTAATAAGAACTATGGGAGTAATATAACCCCAAATGTGTAAATTTTGTTGTAAAAAAGAGAGGAAAAAAAGTGCTCTAAAGGATACAACTGCAAGTGTGTTTAGGTATGTTAAGATAGATGACCATATTACTAAGTTTTTGTTGGATCACTGAACACAACTGTTTGCAGTCTCACTGTTTGAATGTCCACTTTGTAGGCTTTAATCCTGTAATTTGAACAACTATTTCTAAGATGACAATATGTAACCTATTAACTAGTGATTTCTTAGTGTTTTTTGTGAAATTCTGTATTACTTGTACCCTTATACTGTTTTGTTTTTTTTCTTTAAATAAAAAATCCATAAGAACAATAAAATATTAAATGTAGTAAAATAAAATTCAGTAAGGTAGAAGAAAAATAAAATATAAAATAATCTTTATACAAATAATAGAATTTTTAAGAATAAATAAACTGCATTATTTAGTAAATTGATAAGAGCTACTCCTAAAAACCATTCAAACCACAATTAATAAATTTAAAAATAATGGAAAAGACATTGCTTTGGCTCGAAAGATACAATCTTGTAAATATGTCTTTTTAAATCAATATATACATTTTTAAACTTGCAAAAATAATATTAATACTCAAAAAATAAAGTTAGGTGAAAAAATTCTGAGAAAAGAGTAATGATAATAGATTAGCTAGCTCTTCCAACTATTAAAAGGTATGATAACCTCCTAGCCACTAGCATTAGCAATGATATTCACCTAAATATCATTTAGGAGATTATCTCAAAAGCTCAGGCCAAAAAAGCAAAAATAAGTAAATGGTTCTACATCAAACATGAAAGGAAATGATGACCATACAAAATGGCAGCCCATGGATGAAGAAACTATCTTCAAATCATGCATCTGACAAGGGATTAATGCTAAAAAAGACTCATATAACTCAAAAGTAGCAAAACAAATAGCTTAAATAAAAATAATAGCCAAATGGCCTAAATAGTTATTTATCCAATGAAGAAAAATTGCCAACAGGTATGTAAAATATGTACAATACAGTTGATCATCAGAGAAATGCAAATTTAATTCATTATGACACATCACTTCAAAACATAAGGAAGACTAACTAGTATTATCGAAAAGTCAAAAAGTAATAAACATTGGTGAGGGTGTGAGACAAAGGAACTCTTTACATTGTTGGTGGGAATGCAGATTGGTAGAGCCAAAATAGAAAAGTCACTTTTATTCTGATGATATTTTCCCACAGCTTAAACCCCCCTCTTACTGAGGTCTTAATTCATTTATTGTCACCCTCCTCTTCCCTGTTACCTACAGGAATTGTGCAGGATGCAGCCTTGATATCTCCTACATAACTCACCATGTGCATCTATGAGTATGCTATATAGTTTGACATACAAACATCTCTGAAATCTGTGCCCTCCTTTCTCTGCCTACTTTTGCTTCTGCATTACACTTTGAGCATCTTCTCTGCATACTACAAAAGAACTCAGCTGGTCTCCTTGCAGTCTCCTACAGTCTTTGGTCTCTTAAGTCATAGTTCTCCCTAGATTTGCCCATCGCCTATGTCACCTTCAACTGAAACTTATATTCTGAATAAACACCCGGTCCTTCAGAAAGAGCATACAAAATTCCTTCAAGTCTGATTCCTACCAACTTTCCAGCTTTATTTTTGCCACTGCTGCTTACATGACTGTTCTAATGATACTTTTAACTGATTATTTGAATCCCAAGGTCAAACTACCAAAGTTCTTTGTATTTCCTTCATGGTTTGTTTTTTCAGTCTGTGCCTAAATCATATCTCAACCTTTCTTCACATCTTTGCTTCACCTCTTACCCAATGAAATACATCTCCACCTACTCTGTGCCACACTCACAAGGGACAGTCCTAGTTCTTCTAAGCCCTGTGAGTGTTGAGGACTATGTGGCTCTGTGCTGCGATGTGGAACCATGAGCAATGAACTTCTAGTGTTTCAGTGACACTGACTGTGCACGTTGTTACCCAGTCATGCCAATAAATTAAATCACATGTATCTTTAAAACAGCGACACCTGCTCCATACAGAGACTGCAAATGACCAGTATTTAGGCTGGCGACTTCTGACCCAGCAGAAGTGTTTCAGCTGGACTACAAACTTTCAACTGTTTATCAATTACCCCTCAAAATTTTAAAAATGGAAAATGTCCCATAAAAATCCCCCTTTATGACTTGTCTTGAAAAATGCTAGAACTGGTCACCCAAGGTGCTACAGATTACCTGGCTGAATAGAATTTGCCTGCTTTTGTCAAGAATGACCCCTGCAGTTTTTTATTTTTATTTTATTTTTTGTTGGCTTTTTGGTTATTTTGAGACAAGTTCTCACTATATATATTTCAGGCTGGCCTTAAATTCATTTGTGTAGCACAGACTGGCCTCGAACTCAGGGGATACTCCTGCCTCAGTCTGCCAAGTATTAGGATTACAGATATGGGCCACTATGCCAGGCTCCTGGCTGTTTCTTTTAAAGCAATCATTTTGAGTTTGCAGCCCTAGGTTTACCTTTAGGAACAGTGAATTACCTGCGCTTTATACTCATTTTCTTGCAAAAGGCACATCCTTTGCCCTTTAACTGCCTGCACAGACTAACTTGTCCTTCAGGAAGAACTCAGTTGGTCTCCAGCAGTTTTTCATTGAGTTCTTGATGGACTCGGCGTGACCTGTATTACTCCAACATCACAGGGCACACCTCACTGTTACATCCTTATGCCACGTTACATTCAGTTTAAGTGAAGGGATGCTGGAGCTCCTCGCAATCTCATCTCACGCAGAGATCCACTGGAAATCCTTGGTGGAAATTTCGAGAGTCATTTTATTTCATTTCGTCGTTCTCTCAACAGCCACAAAGAAGGCAGCAAATCAGGGCTGGCACTGCATGCCTTTAATCTCAGCACTCTGGGAGGCAGAGGCCGGAAGATGCAGGTTAGAAAATCAATTTGGCTAATTTAGCCAAACTTTGCATAAAAATAAAAAAAAATTAAAACGTGTTAGTCGTGTGAAGGCCTAGGTTCAACCTCCAGTATGGCAAAAAAGAAAGAAAGACTGAAAGAGGCGAAATAACGACAGACATCAATGAGAGCACCTCTCTTCTAATAATTGTGTCCTGGTGTTAGAGAGGCACGCGTTGCGTCGGAGAACTACAACTCCCATCAGGTAGTTGGGGATCGTCGCAGCTCCAAAGCGGGAACGCAGTTTAGGGACTACTACTCCCGTGATGCTCCGCTCCCCGCCCCTGCGCAGAACTCAAGGCCACGTCGCTTTTGCGGCACCAGAGACCACGCACCTCATCCATGGCTACCGTGGATTCCCGGCGGGTAGCAGATGGCAGCGATGCCGGGGGCACCTTCCAGCCCTACCTGGACTCCTTGAGACAAGAACTACAGCAGAGGGACCCGACCGTGTTGTCAGTAGTGCTGGCAGTCGCCGCAGTGCTGCTGACGCTGGGTAAAGAAGCTCGGTGGTTGTGCGGCTGCGGGGCGGGCAGGATCCGGGCTCCGGCTGCGCTTCCGCAGGCCCGGATGGACACCTGGGGAACATCTGGGTTGTGAGATTTACCGGGTCTACTCTTTGCCTTCTTGGTGAAGCGGCGGTGGCAGCGTAGCATTCAAGGGGGCGTCCCGGGTAACCGCGTCCCTGGGACCCTCGGAGTAACGTCCGAGTCCCAGGGACGCGGTTACTCTTCCCTTGGTGCCTTTCATCCCGAACGCACGGTTCCTCCACTGCCTCCTTCTTACTGCTGAGACTCACACGGTCTTTACACCAACTTTGAGCTTACTGTGGGTTTGCGAAGTGGGCCCTGAGGGCGCATGCAACTCGAGGTATCCACATTCTGAGTACAGGTATATGAAAGGGGTACGCGAAAGTTGAGAGTGGATAGTGGGGCGGCACTCTAGAGGGTTCCTAACTACAGCAGCAGTAACGATTATAGTGCTGGTAATCAACAAGTAACTCAGATGAATGCGGTGTTTTCTTGTGAGATGGCTGTTAGTACCATGGATTATCAGCTCACAATTCTGCTGCTTTTTTTCTCTGCAGTGTTCTGGAAATTCATCTGGAGCAGAAAGAGCAGTCAAAGAGCAGTTCTTCTTGTGGGTCTTTGTGACTCTGGGAAAACACTGCTGTTTGTCAGGGTAGGTGCTTTGATTTACAGTACATCTCTTTTAATGGACAGAATAATGGCATCCCAGTGTACGTGTGATCCGATGGCTTATTTGGTAAGAAATTTATGCTGACAAATTTGGGAGTTTAGTCTTCATTTACCTGTGAGAACAATAAGACTCTTGGAAAACATGAGTCAAAATTTTGTAACTTTTTTCTTTTTGTCCTGCATTTAGTGTTTACTGCAAAGGTTTTGCGTAGTGTTTTGTGGTTAGGAGACAGAAGCCAGTGACTAAATGCAGTTCATAATGTTTTGGGTAATAAACCCTTTTGAGGACTTACCAAGAATTTTTTTTTGGGGGGGGGGATATTTTAAGATTTTTCGGTTTTTTCAGATTTTGCAATATTTCCATAGTCTCCCCCACCCCCAGTTAGCATCCCTAATCCAAAATCTGAAATGCACCAAAATACGAAATTTTAGAAAACAATATACGTTACTTTCATTGTAAAATATGTTACAAATTCTGTATGTCCTTTTCACAATGCCTTTTGTAAAGTAGCCAAACTGTGATTTGGGTTGGACCATGATTTGACAAAACCAGTTGCATCCCAGTTTGAAGATTCTTTTCAAGTAAATTTATTGTTCTTAAATCTGATAAATGACACGAATGTTGGTTGATATTTTTGTTTGTGTTCACAAGTAAAGAGAAAATGACAAAATGAAGATGGATGTCAAACTTTATCCATTTAACCACTTCTTTTCGTCGTCAGATAATACTAGGATACTTTTTAGTTTCTTGCATCATAGGCACAATACACTTTTAAGTTTAACTTGCATTACTAACCTCTCTTCATTACTTTTAAAAATTTAAACAATCAAAAAATAAATAAATAATGAAAGCCTGAGTTGGCTTTTGTTAATTGTGCTGTAACACTCCCAGCATGGTTCCAACAAGTTAACAGCTCAATTTTGTCAGACTTTTATTCATTATTTTGGAGTATGTGTTTTACTATGGGGAACAGAAAAGGTTTTCTGGTTTTTAATGTTTCTTTGGAGTAGAGATACTATTTTTTCAGGTACTAAAGCAGTATATTCTGAGGTTTTTTTGATGCTGAAAATGTTTATAGAGGTCAGTAAATTTAGCCACCAACTATGGTTTGAAAATAATGTTTTTCTTTTCTATGAGGAGAGAGGAATGAAGTTTGCAATAAATTAGGTTTTTCTACCAGCTAGAAAACCCCAACAGGATCCTTTTCCCCTATTATAAGGAGCATTCATTTATTTGACTTGGGAGAATTAGAACATTATTACTCAAATTACACTTGCTTTTACTGTGATACATTTACTTTGATCACTTCCATCTTGTTTTTTACAGTTGTTAACAGGCCATTACAGAGACACACAGACTTCTATTACTGACAGCTCTGCTGTATACAGAGTCAACAATAACAGGGTAAGATGTTCTGGAGGGTTGGAATCTGACTCCTACTTAAGATGGCATGTCAAGAAAAAACAGTCCTAGAATGAATTACTTAGGCACTGTTTGTAGCTTTGTCTTTGTAAACATATTCTTATGTGACAGATTCTATTCTTGACAATACATGCAGCACATTTAGTTATGTGTACCTCTTTGTTATAATTTATATACAATAGCTCATCACATTTTATTAATGTTTTGTCTTTTCAGCGTTTCAACTTTATATGAGTTCTTCAAGAATCAGCATTAAGTCTCTTTATTTTATGTTTAAAATAGGTAATATATGTGTATAGGACAAAAATTTTGTGAAAAGTAATTTTTTTTCTTTCTTGTGTGTACCCCTTAGTCTTTTCCCAGAAGCAATAACTGTTAATTTTTTTGTGTATAATTTTCCAGATTTTCTGTGCATATACCTTGTATGCTTTAATTAATTTTTTAACACACTGTTCTGCCTGTTATTTTTTTATCTAACAATGTGGCTGCTACAGCTTGGCTATTTTTTTGTCCTACATTTGAATACAGTACTACTTGATTGACTTATGAACTGTGTAGTATTCTATTATGTGGCTATATCGTGGAATTAAATTTTTATTTAATTAGAGATCCATTAATGTTTAGTTTTATTTGCTTAGCTTGTATTATATTATTACTTGCTTTTACAGTGTTGCAACGGGTGACATAGAGTGTATATTAATACATTTCAAAAATACCCATAAAGTATTGTGGAAAAGCCTTTTTATGTACCCGTATACCTCCAGAATGTAAATGCTGGCTGCCAAGCCAATTACAATGTTCTGTGAGTTTTGGTGAGTGAGTGGAGTGAGAGCGGGGTAGCTGCTTAGAGGGGCAAAAGGTTAGATGGAAGGATAATTAAACTATGACCTAAGAGGCCCTTTCCTACGAGGCCCTTTTCCCTTTTTATTGTGCTTTCCCCTTTCTGATGCCTCCAGAGTTAAATATCATTAGCAGAGATAAAGAAACATCCATTTAAATGTCTTAGGATTTTTTGTTTTAGTTTTTGTTTTCAATGATGGTATACTTTTCTGGCCCATACTTTTTAAAACTTCCAACAATTTGCATTTTAAGAGATTGTTAATTTTGAGAGTCCCTGTAGCAGATTTTTTAACTTGGGTATTCCAAGGTATATATTAGACCTGTATCTTACAGTACAATAGCCATTGGTCATGTGTGACTACTGAACACCTAAAATAAGACATGTCCACCTAGAGGAGCGCTGTAAATCTAAGGTACCCCACCAAAATTAGAAGACATGATACAAAAAAAGCACATAAAATATCAATGGTGTCTTTTTTTTTTTTAATTACATGTTAGTAATGTTTTGGATACATTGGATCAACTAATTTGTTAAAATTCATTTCACTTTATTTTACCTTTTTAATATGTTTACTAGGAAATTTAACATTGTATATGTGACTTGTATTAAGTTTTCATCCAGTAGATAGAACCGTGCTTCCGTCTTTCACCACTCCCTCTCACCCTTAATTATCTGTCTTCCAATTTGCTAAAACTGCAGGGTGCAGTGCTGCTTTTTGAAATGGAACAGCAAGTCCCAACTTGGAGTCTCCAGACTCTTGCCAATATTTTTTGAAAAGGCTAGTAGGCATTTATGTTTGTCTATAAAGAACTGCCTACGGTGTCTGAAAGGTCATACTCCAGTTGTGACTCTACAGATTTGTATGTGATACTGATTTCCTTCTGTTGAGCCATGATCATGGTGGCTGTAAGGTAAACCTGAAATGAGAAGTGATTGATGGGTCTGATACGTGTACCAGAGTCACATTTGAGTCTCTTCATTCAGTGCAGCCACATACACTCTGATCATGAAGTCAAGAATAAAGGCCTAGCTCATCAGACTTAAAAGGAGATGTAGTGGGTTCCCTCGGTAGATGATCAAGAATTGGCACTGCTGGGCGTGGTGGTATATTCCTGTAATCCCAGCTGCTGGAGAGACTAAGGCAGGATCATGATTTCAAGGCCTTTCTGGGTAACTCCGACCCTGTCTAAAAATAAAAAGGTCTAGAAATGTAGCTCAGTGGTGGAGTACCCCTGGGTTCAATCGGGAAAATACGCAACACACACACACATAGCCCTGTGACAACTACCACAAAGTATTGACAGTTTTAGAACAAATAAGTGGTGTGTTTGATTGACACATATGTAGAAATCAAGGGTGGAAATAATGAAAGGGTGCTTTCTTACCAGAACTCAGGATCCTAATAATGACAACACGTGCTGTCAGTTGTTTAGTTCTTGTTTTGGTTTGTTGAATATTTATCATCATTTTTACTTGGTTTTGCTTTTATTGATACTAGTGTATATCTTCCAAGTCTCACAGGGACCACTTTTGTCTGGCTTCCCCAGAGAGACAAGATTCTCGGTACCCTAAGAACATTTATTAAAGTTGTAAATTTATAAGCAGTTTTTACCTTGAATTCATGTCAGGTCAGGAACCGTGTATTTGCTCGTTGTTTATATCCCTGGAACTTCCATTAGCGTTTGTTTGTCATTATTCCTTCTAGTGCTAGAGATTAAACCCATTACTTCATGCACATTTAGTACGTGCTTTGCTAACTGAGCTACATCCCCAACTTCTGACCAGTGTTTTATTAGAAAATGCTCCATCAGCATGTTCAGTTGATTAGATATAGTGAATATTCATTTGATTCATTCTTTAGACACCAGAATCTGTAATCTGATACTAAAGGTTTATGTTGTGAACAGGGAACTGACCTGAACATTAATTATTTTTGCTGCCATCCTCAGGGCAATAGTTTGACCTTGATTGATCTCCCTGGGCATGAAAGCTTGAGGCTTCAGTTCTTAGAACGGTTTAAATCTTCAGCCAGGTAAGTGGGGAGTGAGATATGCTTGCTGAAGTCTGTATAGACTGTGTCGAGTTGGCAAAAAGGGGGGATTCTGGCGTCAGCATGATGTTACCCAGTAGAATGAACATGGACCTTGGTGTCAGCCGTTTCTGGGTTCCAGTCCCATTTTTGCTAGGATTGTATGAGGCAATGCTTAAGGAACATTTTTCAGAGTGCTTGGGAAGGGTTGCTTGTATCATTATTATAAATTTCGCCTTTACCCTGGAAATGAATTTAATGGTATAGGATTATTAAAATCTGAGAAAAGAATTTTAGAGCTTCTGTAGATCCTGGAAACGACTAAATAGTATGGTTAAGTCTTTTTTAAAATTACTTAAAACAGTTAGCTCAAGAAAGTATGAGCAGTAACATATTTTATTGTCTGCCATTGTATTATTGACTCTTAACTTCTTTGCTTAAATTCCTGTGCTACAGTTTTAATTGCTTTCTTCAACTTGGATGAGAATTGAGGAGGGAAATTTGTATATATCAGTTATTTGTCTTTTTGAGACAGGGTCTCGCTGTGCAGTTCAGGCTGGCCTTGAGCTCACTTTGTAGCCTAGGCTGGTCTCAAACTCGCAACAAACCTCTTGCCTCAGCCTCCAAGTGCTGGGATTACAGGTGTGAGCCACCACGCCCGGCTTATATCAGTTATTTGAAGACACATTTTAACATCTCTGAATTTGGAATGTATCTTACAGTTAATGATATGATAATTCAATTGGCAATATTTTCCCTCTTGTGGTGGTACCTAAAATAATATTTTTTTAAATTGACAGCATCTTAGAGTTTACTGGAATGAACTAACTGGTTCTTTCATTTTTGACAAATGTGTAAATTTAGACCTTTTTTATATTGCTTCCTTCCTCACAAGATGGTGGTGATGAGCAATTTGTCACAGATAAGAATGTGACTTGTTCTTCAGACAACTGAGACAAATGTAGGACTGGTCAATTTTGCCATATGTGGATGTTAATTTCCTATTATAGTTTTTTCCTTTTCCTGTTGTCAATTCTAAATGTTTGCAATTTGGATAATAATTACTTTCTGAAGTATTTTGGGGGAAATATAAAGATAAACCGAGTTCAGAGACTTCTTGATCACAATAAATGCATACTGAAAAGACATTTCCTATACGGGTATGTGACTTTTTTTTATTTCTCCTTATGATTTACTCAGGTTTCCTTACAGTTTGTAGTATCCCTTTAATGGTTTGAAAGTATGCTATGTACTTTTCACAGTTCTCCTCTACTGCTTTATACACTGCACACCCAGTGTAAAATAAATACAAGTATCCTTTTCCTGAATCTTGAAAGACTCTGGTCATCACATTTTATTTATGCTCCTTTTTAACCTCCAACAGTTACTGAGTTTTTCATCTTTAGTGTTTTCTTGGATTTAGCACCATATTTATGATTTATTTCCTTTTTGAAGTTCTTCCATTTTCCTTTCTTTTAGGTTATTTTTCTCTTAGTGTATCTTTTAGACATATTTCTAGAGAGCATGACAAGTAGTAAATTTCCTTATCCTTTTTTTCACTTGAAATACCCTTACTGTGTTTGGCCCTCAGTTTTGAATGACGGTTGAGTTTAGTGTAGAGTCTGGGATAGCAGTTGTGTCTTTGGTTACATGGAAGGCAAAATCCTGACTTCACGCGGCTGCTGTTACAGAGGAGCACTTACCAGTGTAACTCATTATCTGTGGTTATCTCTGGCTCTACCTTCTGTCCAGGTGAGAACTCAGCATTATATGTGGAATTCAAGTGTGCTATCCTAGACCCAAGATTCATGTCTTTCTTCAGTTCTGCAAAATTTTCACCATTATCTCTTTGCTAATTTGGAAGATAATGCTATGTCCCCATTCTCAGTTTCCAAATCTTAGGAATCTGTTAAGTTTATTGAACTTAATTATCTCTGTTCTTGTGTCTTCCCTACTTTCTAGATTGTGTCAGGTGAGAATAACCTTTGCTTAACATTTCCACTGAATTATTAGTTTACTGTATTCTTCTAATCCAGTTGCTTTCTGTGATTTGTCTTTCTTCCATTTAAACACCAGTAGTCTTCCTAAGACAGAAGCATAAACAGCCCAGTGTGTCATACTATATTGCTGACTCGGTTTCCCCCATTTCCCTATCTTCTATGTATCTGCTTGTCTTGATTCCTCCAAGGTGTGCTTCACTTGTTTGGACTCAAACATACCATTTTCCTGAGAGTCTGCCCCAATTTTTTGTCTAGTTAAAATTTCAGCTTCACTGTTACATATTCCTTCTTTGACCTGGTATCATTTAAATGAAACTTCCTCTTTATTCCTGGTATTGTTTGGGCACAGTTCTCTCCTGGCAGTTATCATACAGTTTTCTATGATTTCTGGGTCTTTGAGGGCAGATATCATTTATTGGTGTGTTTTCAGTCTCAGTGGTTGAGTCATAGTACGACTCGAAAGGTCTTTTTTATTTTTTAAATTTATTTTTATTTAAAGAGAAACAAAACAAAACAGTGAAAGGGTACAAGTAATACAGAATTTCAAAAAATATATATACAGTAAGAAATCACTAGTTAATAGATTACAATATTGTCATCTTAGAAATAGTTGTTCAAATTACAAAATTAAAGCATACAAAGTGGCCATTCAAACTGTGAGATTGCAAACAGTTGTTTAATGATCCACCAAAAACTTAGTAATATGGTTTTCTATCTTACACACTTAAATATACATGCAGTTATATCCTTCAGATCACTTTCTTTTCCTCTCTTTTTTACAATGACAATTACACAGTTTGGGTTTTATTACTCCCACAGTTCTTATTACTTTTTTTTTTGAAGAGAAAAAAACCAAATGTGACAAAGCAAAACAGTCAGAACACAAGGATGGACATAGTACGTGATGAATACCAGGTGATCAACAATGGTTACTATTAGGCCTCTTCCTATCTTAAAAAGAGTTGCCTATATCATCAGGCATAATAGAATTGAACAAAACAGTACAGAACAAAACCAATAAAACCTAAACATTAGAGACCTTACAAGACTTCAAAAGAAGATAATAGTCAAACCATAATGGGCATCATAGTAAATCTTATTGCCTTCAAAGTGGTTGCCTATACCCTCAAACTTGATACTATCAAACAAAACAGAATAGAGTAAAATCAGTCAAAACAAGATGGGGAGAGCAGTACAGGGGTTCAAATCAGGTTAATAGGAAAACAAAAAAGTTATTATAATATATCCCGCTATTTTTAAATTTATTTTTCCCTTAATTAAAAAAATAAAAAATAAATTAATTTTTTTAAAAAAAGGGGAGATTGAGATAAAAGAGGACATAACAACAGAACAACACAGGTCAAAACAACAATTTAAGTATCATAGTGTTTCACCACCAGATAACCTGACATAATGGTAGTTACCATAGTGTCTCTTTCCTTCAAATATTTGAGTATAACTTCATATACTATAGCATCAAACATATCAAGACAGTATGAAACCATTCAAGAGAATGAAAGTATTACAGGGTATTTAGAACCAGCTAACAGAAAACGAACAACGGTTTCTATATTATCCCTTTGCCTATAAAAAAATTTTGTTTATACTATCACATATATTAAAATATAATAAGATACAACATGTTAAAACCAATGGAAACAGACGAACAACAGATTGATGGAACTTCCAAACAAAATGATATTAAAGCGGGGCTGGGGATTTAGCTCAGCGGCATAAGCGCCTGCCTTGCAAGCAGGCAGTTGTGAGTTCGATCCCCGGTACCGGTAAAAATGAAAAAGACAAAAAAAAAAATAGCTATTTGTACTATCACAGACAATAAAGTCAAACAACCCAGATTAAAACCATTCCAATTAATGAGTGAAAACATTGTATGGCTTCAAACCAATATAATTGGGAATCATGATTACCACATACTTTTATGTATTTTTATTTATTACACTTTCGGTATTTATACATGTGAGTTTGATGTATTTCACTTATGAGTATGGTCTCAAGCTGCATCCATTTATTTATAAATATCTCAGTGTGATCCTTCTTTATAGCTGAGTAGTACTCCATTGTATAAAAATACCACAACTTTTTATCCATTCCTCAGTTGATGGACACTTGGGTTTTTTCCAAGATCTGGCAGTTACAAATTGTGCTGCTATAAACATGGGTGCACATATATCACTGTGGTATGATGCTTTCAGTTCTGGGAATAGGCCTAGAAGTGGAATAGCTGGACCAAATGGGATTTCCAATTCCAGCTTTTTGAGAAATCTCTAGACTGACCTCCACAATGGTTACACCAGTCTACACTCCCACCAATAGTGAAAGAGAGTTCCTTTTTCCCCACAGCCTCTCCAGCATTTGTTGTTGGTGGTTTTCTTGATCCTGGCCATTCTTTCAGGAGTGAGATGGAATCTCAGTGTGGTTTTAATTTGCATTTTTCTAATGACTAATGATGATGAACATTTTTTCATGTATTTATTTGCCATTTGTATTTCTTCATCTGAGAAGTGTGTATTCATCTCACGTGCCTATTTTTGGAGTGGGTCTTTGAATTTTGGGGGTCTGATTTTAAAAAATTCTTTACATGTTTTAGACAGAGAAAGGTCTTTTAAAAGGAACTTTGTGTTGTGTGATTACATGTACACAAACCTGAATTCGTGTGTGTTGTGTACAATTCACCAGGATTGAATTTCAGGAGATTTAAGGATAGTTTTTCAAGATTACGATTCACTGCTAGAGGTTCATGTGCCTGGTTTTTTCCTTCCCTCCAGGGCTTTTGTGTTTGTTGTAGACAGTGCATCCTTCCAGCGAGAGGTGAAAGATGTGGCTGAATTTCTGTATCAAGTCCTCCTGGACAGCATGGCTCTGAAGAACACGCCATCTTTCTTAATAGCCTGCAATAAGCAAGGTGCTGTCCTGTTTCCTGGCAGTAATGACTGAACTTTGGGGGTTTCCTACTAAGTATTAGTTCAGTACCTATACCTGTCATTACTGAGGATCGACATAGTTGTAATGAACTATAATTTGAAGGATTTTCTGAAAATCTGTTTCTGTTCCTACCTTTTTACTAATCTACAGATTAAGACAGTACTTTAATTTTTTTTAAGTTTATAAATTGTTTTACTTTTCAAAATGAAGCTTGCCAGAGTGGACAGTATGTGATATCAGAAAAATAACTTTGGAGTAAATAAAAGGATGGAGTCTCCTTCCAAACAAATGTACCATTCAGCAAATTTTAACAAGGGGAGTTTGTTTCCCTTTCATCTGATAACCACTGACAAGTTTCAAGCCATTGCCAAACAAAATGGGTTTCAATTTTATTACCAGTAAGCTAAATAGAGTAGTCAGTCTCTTCAGGTCTCTTTCACATCTAAATTTCTTGGTTCTGTGAAGAACCCAAAGCATTTCTCAGAGTCGATCAGATAATAATTATCCCTAATCAGGATGCACTTACTAATACCATTACCAACCTTCTGTTTTCTCTTATTTAGTATTAAAAAGGGAGTTAATGTTTATTTGGCCTGGATTTTTTGCCAAACTAGGCTGATTGCATACCAGCGGTAAACTTGGATCATAACATATTCTCTCAGTTACTGTCTGCAAGTGTCCTGAGGTTACTTTTAAAGGACAGGCAGAGTATCATCTACTGGAGTGAAAGTCCTTATTATAGTCACAGTGCTGATAAGGTTTCTCTGCTGGACATAAATAATTTTTGGATTGAAAAGTGTGTAAAGCATGGAAAACCTTTTTAAGAATATCAGCATAAGTTTATAAGCATTATTTTGGGAAAACTCATGTGCACATAAAAACAATATAGAAGGAAATAGTGATAAAACCTTATTTTGAAAAAGAATGGGGAAAAAACTCAGTTTGATTTAAATTAAAATAACATTTTTATTTCTTCATAGATATTGCAATGGCAAAATCAGCAAAGTTAATTCAGCAACAGCTTGAGAAAGAACTGTAAGTGTAAATGGAGACCAATGTTTTGGATAAATATGTGTTAACACTCAGAGCCTGAGCAGTATGTTCGTATTTATTTTATCATACATGGTTATCACAATTATAGTCTGAAGACTAGTGTGAAATGCACTTTTTAAATAATTAAAAGAATCAGTGGAATTATAAAAAGCATTAATGGGATGTTTATAGATATTTTAAAATTTCATGTAAAACTTTATTGAAAATATTGGCTCAGTTTATTTTATGTTATTCATAATTGTAAGATTTTAGAAACTGTTGAAGTGTTTTAATGAATACAACAGAGTGCATCCCTCAGTAGAAGTGTTTAATGATGCACAGAAAAATAATTAAATAAAAATAAATAAAACCTGAGGACCAGGAAAAAAGTCAGTAAAGCAATTTTAAAGCCATTAGAAATTGTTATTGGTAGAATAAGAAATGAACACTTGGGAAGACTATAAAAATCTGTGATATTCTTTCATAGCTTCTTCCATTATTTTAAAGCTCTTTGACAGTATTCATGCTGCTTTATTTTAAAAAAATCTTACACATAATAAGCTGTAAGCTTTTGAATTTTAAGACATCCAACATGTCCGTTATGCCAGTTAAAAGCTTGTTTAGACAGAAGAAATCATCAGCATTATAGTAAAGCAAGTTAACTTTTCTTACTATTTTTATATAAGGACTTTTTCTGCCTAAAGAAAAGGCTCTGGTGAAGATTCTGCACACATTCAGCTTTTAAAACATTTTCCGCAACCACGAGTTACTCCTTTATTCCCTTAGCAAACAGCTGACAGGGCATTCAGTACAGCCAGGCGCTGCTGTGGGAGGAGGAGGCTATAGAAGGAACTGTGATAGAGTTCCCGTGCTCAGGGCAGACACCTCCCCGAGCAGTTTGACATTTTTAAAGGCAGGTTTAAAAAAAAAGCAAAGCAAAAATATGCAAGGGACCAAATGTGGTGCACATAGCTCAAGATCCTGAATTTTCTTCTTTACAGACAGTCCCCAGGGTTTCTGTTCCTTCTGAAATCGCTTGTTACCCTCTCCTGATGCTCCCTGTTGCAACTCTGTGCCCGGCTTGCCATTAGGCTGACAGTATGGGAATGCTTTCATTTGTAGAAAGCAAGTTGGCCGCGTGTATGCTGTGCTCCTTGGAACAGAAGGGGTCTGCAAGCATGTTGCTTGTGCACTTTTAGTGCCAGCAGGGCCAGCAGGGGGCAGAGGGCAGCATAAAGTGAGAAAGCTGCTGTGGTTAAAGAAAATGGAGAACAGTAATTGTGCCAAGTAAATCTGAAGTGAGTTTATAAGCACCATATTGAAATAGACTAAAGATAAAAATATATTACCTAGCCACACTTTCGGAAGTTTAAGTTTTATAACACAGCAGTGTGTTTTAAAATGGCACCACTTGGGAGAGCCTAAAGGGGACCCTGCGCCTGATGTGACCTGACTCCACGGCTGCCCTGTTGTCCTCTGGTCAAGTAAGGTTAGACTCACATTTGGTTATGTATGTGGTTATTCAGCAGCGCTGACTGCGTAGTTGACAGGCTTGTGAATAAGTCATGTTAATATATTAGGAACTAATCTGATTTCATTGCTGGATCGTTTTTGCTTCCTGACTTGTTGCCCTTTTGTTCCACAGCAACACCTTACGAGTTACCCGCTCTGCTGCTCCCAGCACACTGGACAGTTCCGGGCCTGTCCCTGCTCATCTGGGAAAGAAAGGCAAAGAATTTGAGTTCTCACAGTTGCCCCTCAAAGTGGAGTTCCTGGAGTGCAGTGCCAAGGGTGGGAGAGGGGACGGAGGTTCTGCTGACATCCAGGACCTGGAGAAATGGCTGGCGAAGATTGCCTGAGGGCAGCTCCAGAGCACAAGCCCCGGGCGCATGTGACCGGCCGCACTCGGGAAAGAGCTGTGCCAGTCTGGAGTTGCTAAAGGGTACGGGAGTCAGGGACTTCCCCTCATTCGAGAAACAAATGACTGTTCCCACCAGTTCGGAAATTTTTTTGTTTAAGTTTTTTTCGGTATTGCTCCCTTTCAAACAAATCACTTTTATTGGACTCTCATCCTGCCTGTATTCAGTGTCCCTCTAGCATGTGCTTGTTTAAGGTCAAGGTCTTTATGACGTAACAAGCAGAGTACACACAGAGAGTACTGTTACGACATGTGTTTATCATCTGAAGTCTTCTCATCCTCGGCTTCTGTGCTTTGATCCCTTTCCTGGAAACAAGCCACCTGTTACGAAGCTAGTTGATTTCCAGCTGCCTCTGCCACTCCTGTGCAATAATACAGTTCTCAGATTTATAGGGAGAGTTAGTTTTCCCATGTGTGAAAAGGGTCTAAAAGAACAAGGCAGAGTTGACAGTGGGTTCTGATTGGTCCCGCCTCAGCATCAGGGTTAAAGGCTGGTCAGGAACCCCTGGTGGTGTTCCCAGGGGGTAGAATTACAGATGCTAAGTCCCCAAGTACCTCTCCTGTGCTCTAGTGGTCACTGGGGTGTGGGGACTCTAGGCACCCTTGTGCTTCTGCGTTTGGCCTCAGCTCCTGGCTCTCCATTTATTGCCTGGTCAGATCTGATTTTGTACCCTAAAGTAGAATGCTGTGGAACAAAAATACAAAAAGGTTTTTGGTATAATTTTGGGATGTGTATTCATGCTTTTAAAAAAAATTGCCTTTTCACAGATGTTCTGTCTTAAATATTTGGCTTTTTTACTGCTTTTGTAAATGGTTAATAGTTTTCTTGATAAATAAAACAGGCTTTTGGTTTTTTGAGACAGGATCTTGCCGTGTAGCCCAGGCTGGCCTCAAACTTGTAGCAGTCCTCCTGCCCCAGCCTCCCAAGTGCTAGGGTTACAGGCCAGTGCCACCATGCCCAACTCATACTGTGCATTTTAAGCAGCATATTTACCACCAGTGCACATTCACATTGATATCTAGGGAACTCTGTATTTCTTTAGCCTGGCAAGGCTAGGACCGCTGGACAGCTGTGTCAACACCATGCTAGTGAGAGCACTCACTGAAGACACGTTCTCCTGAGGACCATAATCATGTGGAAGGCTTGCTTTCCTCTGGCCTTTGTCTGGGCCCTGAAGCGGCTTCTCTGACTCACCCCTCTGCTTGCTCTGCCTTATACTTTATAATTGGAAGACAGAAAAAAAGTAAGGCTTAGTGGGCAAGGATACTGTTTCCTCTCCTTTCTAATCACAAATAGCCTTTCTGAAGTAGCAGATTGGAAGGGGTTCTAGAATCTTCAGAACCTTTAAATAGGGGAGATGTAGCTAGTACAGTTGACTTAAAATTTCCAGCATCCATAGGCCAGCGTGGCTGTGTGCCTGATCTTGGTATTTGAGTCTTCTCTGGAATTGACCCTGGATAACCTGAGACCTGGGGCCTCTGGGATGTTCCTTCACTGGGGTGGGGTGTGGCTGGCTGGTGTCATCTGAAAGGTGACTGTGATTCCCCTTAATTTCTTACCTTTTATGTGATATCTGTAAATAAGAAGAGATATAGCCGCATCTAACCTTCACAAGCCCAGCCATGGCAGGCAAGAATGGGAATCATGGCAAAATACACCTGCATTCTGGTTCTGTCTACAGTCTCTTTCCGTGAGAGTCTGGGAATGTGGGTCTCTAGTGTGCTCACCTTTCCCCTTCAGAGTTGGGGGAGATCTTGGCAAGCAGAGGGGAATATGAGGGCTTTGAGTAAGGGATATAGCACCCAACACCAGAAAGGGTCTGCAGGTGCATACACGCATCTGAAAAAACATTTTTGAATGGCCCCCTTCCCCATATGATTGTACTACTTAGAAACAGACAAGACAGGCTTTGTGTTGAGAATTAGGACAGTTTATTGTTTGACCAACATGCTGAGTCTTTTCCACATTTTACACAGTTTAATGTAAAGTCAGTATGGCCAATATGTCTTCTGAGCCCGTAAGAGATGGAAACGCCACCCTCTGTGCTCCTCACAGCCACTCACTTTAAAGGGATGGGTCAGGGGAAAGTGGAGGGAAGTGGACACATTATGAGATGCGGGCTGGCCTTCAGTGGAGGAGGCTACCTCTTTCCTTGAGGGGACATCCAAATTCCTACTGCAAGGTGTTTCCAATAACATACACCATCCTGGGCATGTCAACCAAACAGGTTTGAAGCCCAGGCTGTTTGGACACTGAGGTCCCTAAATTTTGGAATACTTACAAAGCTGATTTCAAACAAATTAAGAGTCCTAATCGGTATGGGCGCCTAAGACAACCAAAGTAGGCTTGAGGACTTGCTCTCTTCGCAATAGAGGAGCCCAAAGTGCACCTGTATTGTCTCCTAGCTCACTCAAAACATGCTAGAAAGAAGCTGTCCTGACCACGGAGGAGAGATGGCCTGTGGGACACACACACACACCAGTCCTTTCTACATCAGTACGCAGTTTCATCTGGGCACAGGTCAGCAATGGACAAAGGATGCCACCCCACTGCTGCTGCCCACTCCTGACTTGCCTGGTAAGGGGTAAGTATAAGCAAGTCACTGGCTTGCTTCTCACCTGTGAGGCGGGAAGGGTATGCGACCTCCATCTCACTGCTAGGGAAAGGGTCAGTGCCTCACATTCTCTGGGGAGGTAGTTTGGAAACCAGTGAGCACACAGCCTGGAGTGGCTGCCGCACACCTGCACATGCTTGTCTGGGTGCACCTCACACTGCTCTGACTTCTGGCACAGGCTCTGGCCGCCTGGTCTGTCCTAAAACCCTCCCTTGCCTACCCACCTTGTGCTACCAGTGCCAACCCTTTATTGTCACAACTGGTACTGCTAGCCACTGGTGACAGTCACTGCACCCCAGATGGGGCTGCACCTCCTGCTTGCACCTTTTAGTCCTCATTTCTGTTGCCCCACACACTTGAACTTATCTGCCCACTGCTTCCCTTGGGAGCACTGCAGAGTGGTTAGGATGGTGACAGGAAGAGGATGGCAACAGTGATAGCACTGAGCCTGTGGCCAAGAGAAAACCGTTGCCTCTGCCACCAGGCAGGCTGATCTTGGACCACACAGCTAAGCACACTGGGTGCTGATGTCATGTGTGCCTTGGCATGTGTGCTAACTCCCTTGCCAACCTCCACCAGTTCTAACATGAACAGGAGCTTTACTGACAGCATTTGGGACTCAAAGGAAAAGAGGGCCAGAAGAGGATTCTGCTTATTTGCCAGGTCAGAGCTAGTCTTTGAGGAGAGGGGCCGGATGACTAAATGAGATCATGTCCTGAAACAAATCCTCCACTCTGTTGCCTACTAACTCACATGGACTCGGCAGAAGCGAGATTCCTGCCAAGGATGTGGAGGCACTTTCATGCCATCTCCAAGAGGAGCTGACCATTTTATTATTAAAACTTAAGTCAAGGCCTTACACACAAGCAAGCAGGCAGCGATGGTGCCTGCAAGGAGCCAACACACTTCTGTCAAAGAGGTCTGTTTGGTTGCCTTAAAGAGACCCAGGAAGGGAAGGACCAAGGGGAGGAAGGCCAGGGAACAGCAGGGCTCTGGGTAGGAAGAGAGCAGGCAGTACTCTCGCCTGCCGAGGGTACCGGGCTTGGGAGAGCCTGTTCTCAAGGGAAGATGCTGTACAGGCTGGGAAGAGCAGGACTCACTAAGGCCACATCAAGCCACCCAACATCTAGCATCCCGTACTGCTCCTCTAGGGCACAGTGGGAAGACACATCATGGTGCCTTGGACTGTGTATACATGGGAAGGGAACTGAGTTTCTAGTTTGTTTTACAGGATGTTTTAAGAAGAGCTACTCTCCAGGCTAAGAAAATTAAAATCTACCATACATTCATTCACTAAGACACAGTGCAGCTCCCTGTCCACGGGGCTGTCCCAGAGGTGGTAACTGATGGCCTTCACAGCCAACCAGGCCAGACACTTAACGTGGACTCGAATAAATTCTCACGAGGTAAGTAAGCACTCTTCCAACAAGCACCACTGGGGGTGTGCTCGCAGTGGGGGACACTGGCCCACAGGCACGCACACCCATGAATGTAAGTACATAGAGAGGTGGTGGAAATACTCCTGCGGGCTATTTTTGCCTGTAGTTTAACACATCTATGCATTACTTTATTGATGGCAAGACAATCACAAGTTATTTGACAATATTGAGTATTTCTTGTTTCAACACATTGCAGTACTTTTGAATTTCCAAAACTGTTTTCACAATGCAAGTTCCAACTTGAGAGCAGGAAAGACAAGAATATACATTGAGCACATGTATCTCTGTGTGATGATGTGTTTGTGGAAGGTGTATACACAAGTCTATCTCTATATATAATTATGTACACACATATAAAAACTAAACACATGACATTTAAATTACGCTTGTACATTGGTCCTTGCCTTCCGGAGGTGCCAGGTGGTCTCTTGCTTCCTCTCTTCACCTGAAGACAAATTCCTCTCTAGAGATCAGCTCTGACACACAGTCTCCCAGGCTGAAGGCATGTGCAAGCCTACTGCACAAACTTTAGTTCTGCCACTTGTGGGCTGCCATGGCATTTTCTGATAAGTTTCAAAATCCGCTCTAACCATAATCTTGTTGGGAGTTCTGCCTTGTGGAGGAATTCATCCTGCCACAACTCAGAAGCTACTGCAGCCCATTTATGACATGCCTCTGGCAACCTGAATGAAGAACCAAGGCCAGTTGGGCGGGAGCAGATTACAATTTTGGTCAGCCCCAGCCCCCTGGCAGACTTTGTACAGGACTATGGGTACAGAGTCTGGGTCAATTTGGAATGTTGGCTGAGTTATGTTATACAGAAGAGAACTTCTCTTCAGGGATTGGACAGGTTTCAGGATTAAGCCATTCTCAGGAAGGAGTCAATTGGGCAAGGATGGCTCTCTGGGGGCTCCAGCCAGTACTCTCTGCAGCCTTCTGGAAACCCCACTTTAGCTCCACTTCTGGGTGCCCACAGTGCAGCCACAATATCCACAAAGATACACGCACAACGATTTCAACTGTACCATGCCAATGCCTGGAAACATAGCGAGAAATCAGATGTGCGAGGACACTACTCAACAGTATTAGCAACCGAAGATCTGAGAACTTGTGTCTTTTCAGGTGGTGGCTCTGCAGGCAATCCTCCCTTCCCCAGCCACAGAGGGGCCAATAGCATGTGGTACAGGCTCCAGCATCCCTGACATGCCAGGCGGAGGACTTCAGGGTGACATGCTGCCTAGTGTCACACACTGAATTTCTGAGAGTCAAACCAGCTGTGTGTGCTGACCATTGGGCAGGCTGGTTAGAACATCTTGGAATTACATGGGGTGCCCAGTCTGTAAGCCACACATCACCACAGCCTGCAGTTGCCAACAACACCCCGTCCTTCCTATGACCCCTTGCTCTGCTGGTCATTGGGCAGATAACAAGAATGTAGGGTGCCAATGCCTTCCACTCCCTTCATGGCTTTTAGAGGGGGAAACGAGAGGCAGAAGCAGTCCCCCAGGACCCTGCTGTGGGCATCCTACAGTCCACAGGCCTTTGTTTCAGCTCAGGGTCCTGCTAATGCCAATGTCCATCACTGCCCATGGAAGGCCTGAGCAGTTCTACCTCTCCGGAAGCTGTTCAACCAATGTTTGATTTAATCATTCATGGGCCTGGATGGTGGGGCCTGGTTGGTCTGGGCCAGATGACCTGGCCAGGAGCCTAATTATGTTGCTCAGTTAATTGCTTTAATTTACTGGGTTAGGATGGGAGGAAGGCAAAGGTGATTAACAGTTCAAAGAGAACAGGAAGGAGGGGGTGTGTGGAAAAGGTTCTCTGTAAGTTTACAAATATACAAAAACAAAAAGCACATCTTTCAAATAAAAATGACTAATTTTTATCTGGCAAAAAGTTGTATACACATGATTTAAATTTTTTTTTTAAATTTTAACAGTTTTTGGCAATCTTAATAAAGTACAATATATTACAACCAAACCAAAAAATAGTTGTTTAAGTAACAGCTGTTAAGAGTGATGTGAACCCTGATGCCCAGCCTCCCTCCCTACCCCACCCTACTCCTAGAGACAGAGAGAAAAGAAAAATCCTCCCATCTTGGTAAAACTTGTCTCCCACCCCCATTAGGAAGCTAACCAATAGGAAGCAACACAACAAGCGAGTAGTGTGTAGGAAGCCTTGGGTCGGGCTCTGCATTAGCAGGAGCAGCCGCCCTCGCTGGCTGGGGGCTCCTGGGGTTTGTCCAGCTTGATGTCAATCACTGCAGGAGGTTGGGCTAAGGAAGATGACTCTCAAAGTGGCCACCCTGTAACCCCTTAATTGCTGCTGTGTCCCTCTGCATACACCCAGGGTTTCAGAGCTAAGCCCTGGGCACAGCACAGCCCTGTCTTAGTACAGTGGCTTCCCACAGTGAGCTCTGTTGACACGGTGCCATAACTTGGTACAGGTATACCCCCTCCACACATTTCTCATTCTGGCACTTAAGCCTTCCCAAAAGTTGGTTGGCTCTGGCTCACTTAAGCACACCCTGAGGACCCGGCAAGTGGATCTTCTCCTTTGCAAACACACCCTCTGCTTCCCTTCTTTCCTTCGTGGATGTCATCCCCTCCCCTACACCTAGCTCCATCCCTAGCCCCACTTATAAAAACTGTCCTGCCTCTGGTCAGTGCTCATATGAATCAGGCCCTCTCTGTGCTAGCACTGCCCTGGCTTTGTAGATGAGTCACCACACTTCAACGGATATTGTGGGGTGGTGAGCAAAGCACACATCATCCAGCAAGGACGCCGAGGAGACTGGATACAAACACAAAGCTATCTGAGTTTTGTTTTTAATTACCCTGGGGCTAAGGATCAAATCCACACCTTGAACCCTTGAACATGGTAAGCACTCACATACTCGAATGACTTGCACTACCACTGAGCTACATTCCCAACCTGGAGTTCTGCTCTTAAATGACATAGCCATGCCACATCCCTTTTGTACTGGTTCTCAGCCTCAGCACCACTGACACTGTGTGCCAGCCAGTTCTTTGTTGTGAGGGCTGTCCCGCGCAGGTAGGCTATTAAGGAGCATCTAGCATCTAGATGTTGGTTGAGAAGCCTAACAGATTACAAGACAAAAGAAAAACACTTGAAAAACAGAAGCTTATTTAATGCTTCATAAGTACCATTTAGGTTGATAGCACCAATGTACATTTTGAAACTTTAAAGGTGGAAGTTAGTGGGGAAGGGAAAGAGGAAATTTAAAGGGGTAGATAAAAGCTTCAATTGAAAAAAAGTTTGCGTAAAAGGAATTATTTTGATTGAACATATTTTATTTGATTAGTTACTTCTGGACCACACTAAATCAACTGTTAAGCTGCAGGTGAATTGTTCAGGTGAGAATGCTGAAAAGCTGCGCATAAGCGCACTGTGAATCACTTGCCAACTGTACTTTATGGAGCTTACTTTATGATTTAAACTACTGTACTGTACACAGGAGTCAGGTTACCTTCTCCTTATTTATATGAAAGTATACTATATACTTTGATATTTGAAATGTTAGGTACTTGAAAGGCCACTTACATTTCTAGAAAAGATTGGATTTTATGCAATCTCTTTTCCTGAATAAATAACAATTTAAAATGGAGAAAAAATGTCTGCGGAGGTGCCCAATGTCCTCTGTGGGGACGAGGGCGGTATGAGTTGTGGCTGAGAACTGCCGGTCTAGCTGAAGGGCTGGTGACTATTACGGTGCTGTATCTTACCCAATGTTTGGAAGTTACCTGACTGTCATTAAAAATAAATCACTGCATGCACAACCTGATCCAGAATCAGGTTGTATACTGTACAACACTTCGACACTGCATCCAAAAAAATCTCCTGGAAAGCTTGTTAAAAATGAACTTTCCTAGGCCCTGCCTTAGTAGATCTAAGGAGGGGCCCAGGATGTGAACTGTTAACAAGTTCTTTCTTCAGACAGTACTATACATAAGTACCTGGGAAACAATTTCACAGACACTTCTGGAACAGTACCACCTGCACAAACCTTCTGCAGTAATGAAAATATTTTACACCTGCACTGTCCAGTATTAGAGCCATCAGTAACATGGGCAACTGAGGACTTGAAATTTGGCTACTGCAGGTAGAGAAGTGAATTTTTAACTGAATCCAATTTTACCTGACTTAAAACATTAGCTATAATTTTGGAATGCAGAGCTTTAGACCATTTACCAGGAGCTTTCGTACATAACATCTCATTTTCCCTTGAAATGCCACAAGCACACTGACTTACAGCATTCCAGGTTTATAGTAAAGAACAAGGATGGACAAAGTGCACCCAGTCTAAAAATCCCCCGAAGAGAAAGCTTACTGTGGACGTTTCCCATAGGCCCTGAGCGGCTTGCTACGGATCTTTCCTGTGGGCAGAGCAAAGCGAGTCAGCCTTGTCTCTTGGGCTCACAGACCTACTGCTTCTTCTTTTTGGCTCCTGAAATAATGAGAGAACCCAGACAGCCTGTTGTGATGGTGCCCAAATGGCTGGGCATGCTAGCAGCTCTTGACTCTACGATCAGCCCAAATCTGTGTGTGTGGAGCATCAAAGTACTGGCCCAGTGCACTTGTGGAATTCAATGGCCGCAGGACACAAATATTTGGCTTTGGTCACAGCTCTGTCAACTAAGCCAGCTGGGAGGCTTGGGGCATGGTCTTCCCTGTGGGGGGCCTCACTGTCCTCTCTCCTCTGGACCATTTCATACATGCCCAACTTACTGCCATTCCTTTGATTATGCCAGCTTTGCTCAGAAAGAGCCCAGGGCCCATGTTTTAGAGGTATACTGTTTGGGCAGAAATCAGGAGAGGGACCTTGTGTGTGCAGATCCAGCAGCGGCTTGTGGCTCTACTGTTTTGTGACTCCTCAGTGTCTTTCCTCATGCCACCATCTTGAGAAGGCACAGGACAAGCAGGTAGCAGGTTGCTGGACAGAAAGGCTGATTGGCTAGCCCTGGGGGGCCTTCTATATTGGGTCTGAAGATGAGAGACAACAGTCTCTCACCTGCACCTAGAGGCAGAAGACAAAATATCCGAGCTCACACACTTGCCAGGACCTTAGCAGAGTAGATAAGGCCATCTCATACATCACAAGGTACTGTGTGGTTGGTCTTGATGTTGAACACAACTTGACATAACTTCAAAGTACTGTGTACCTCTTCAAAGATCTGATTTGAACCATCAGTAAATAGAAGCACTGTACCATTCTGGCTAAACCACAGTGACTGCTGCCTGCCTCTAACTGGTCCCTTTAGGGCTCTGTTTGAGGCTGGTCCAGCCTCTGTCTTGTAGAAGGCCTAAAGAGTGGGCTTCTGGAGAGTGAGGGGAAGCTGGGTCTGCCAGATGGGGTTCCCATAGCTGGTAAAAGGGACACAAGTGACCTCATCCTTGTAGTTTTTGCTATGTGTCCTCTGTAGTTTTTCTCCCCAGGGTTCTCCAGGTCACCCATAGTTGGTTGCCATGCTAGACACTATGATGAAGATGTGCTAAGATGTCACTCTGGACCCATATGACCTAGCATGGGGCATGGGTCTTTGGGGGGATGGGGATGAAACAGTCACCACCTCCCTTGGTCAGTGGGCCACATCTTCACAGTGGGCAGGATGAGATCAGGCTGTCTGCAGCCCTGCTCCTGCTGGCAGGTGTGCAGGGAACACCTACACCTTGATTCTTCCCCCCTCAGGCTGCCTTCTGTAGGTTCCTGGCACCTCAAAGGAGGTGCATGTGACAGATGACACCATGGGGTTCTCTCCCAAGGTGTGGTGCCCAGCTCTTCCACTGAGCTTTGAGGAGTCCCTGACAGCCCCCAAGAGTGCTTCTTCACCCATAACTGGAGTCTCGTGACTAAGCAACCAGGACACAGTCCTCACACTGCTTCCCCTGAGCTATGTCTATCCTATGGGAACACACTGACTACTGCATGACCTCTGGGCACTGCTGGGGAACCTGCTCTTTGGGACTCAAGTATACTCTGAGGCTCTCAGTGTCCCAAACCTGATCCCCCCTCTGGCATAGACTACATCAAGCAGAGGGGAGGGACAAGTGTGGCCAGGACGTCAACTCCTTTTGGCTTCCAATATTAAACTACGTGATTCAACCCTCATCAGCCTGAAGTTGCCCTCTGACTTCTGAGACCATTCTCTGATTAGCCGCAGGTATCCCCCTATGAGAATGAGTGCAGGATGCTGGGAAGTTGCTGTGTAGAGACTCGTCCCATTCTGAAGGATACAGGCTGACTGAGCACTCAAGTCTCCAGCGGCTTACCAGCCAGGGACCTGACTAGGTGCAATCTAGGCAGTTCTCCTCCTGTCCTCTCAGATGCACTCTGAGGAAGTTTCCCCAGTGGAACTGGGCTGGAAGAAGAAGGAAGCCCCAGTATGAACCCTAACTCCTCAACTGACATGCCGTGGGGCACTAGGCACATCGGGCAACAACTCAATTTCAGCACCTAAGTGTGGGCTCAGATTTGGGCTCCACAGTCATGAGGAGATAGGGCTCTGTGGGGCTGGGCCCAGGAAGCAGGCAGGACATGGAAGGAGTCATCTTGTGTGGACCAAGACATGGTTCAGTCACATTCATGGGCCACACAAGCCTTCCCTGTGGTGGAGTCTACCTTTCCTCGTGAAAAGCTCAGGCTGTTCACAACAGAATGGCAGAGCTGCTTCTTTTCCCACCCTACCCTCCACCCCTGCGCCATATACTCCCTCCCTCAGTGCTGAGGAGGGAGCGGCACTGACGGCTAGAGCTGGACAGGGCTGAGAGACACCCAGCTATAGCGCTAAGTGTGAGTGAACAGCTTCTCTGGCACATCCCTCACTCAAGTGGCAGAGGAAAAGGATACTCCCTTCTTTGCTTTTCTCCTGGACATTCTCCATGCCGGGCAGAGCGGATGCCACACGTCTGAAGAGCTGCCAAGACGGGGAGACGCAGGGTGAGCCCTGTACTGCCCGGCCTTCCCCCACCCAGTCATGGCTCTACCCTCTGGCTTCCCCTTGTCTGCTTGCCTTCATGGGCAGGCGGGGCTCCTCAACTCTCTGCTCCCCCACTCCAACCCGGGCTTCTCACAGAGCAGGTCAGTATGTGGAAGGGGAGAACAAGGCCACCACTTCTCACCTAAGCAGGCTGCCCACAGGGTCACCAGCGGGGAGCTTGGGTCACAGCACAGACTGAAAGGACCTATTCTGGTGTAAAGAATGAGCCAGAGCCCTTGTGTTTAGGCCCTTAGGTGGCCTTTGGCTGCTGCCCCCGTAGGGACTGGTGTAGGAAGCCAACCTGGACCTGCCCAAACAACTCTCTTTATAGACTCCACAGTCTGCAGGCACTGCAGGCAACAAGTGGAGCCAGGGCCACAGTCAAATGAGGGGTGTGGGAGTAAGGACGTGACACTGTAGGGCTGTGGGGCTGTGATGGTGACGTGTCTACTATATGTGTGAGACATGTGTGTGTTGCCTAGGGTTATGTGTACAGTGTATGCTGTAAGTGGTACACGTGTGCATAAATGCATAAATGCACATATAAATGCATGTGGGTGTGAAGAGGTGGTGTTCTTCACCACCACACAGAGGTAGATCTGTGTAGTGTGGGGAAAGGCGTATTTGGTACATGGGTATGGGTGAGCATGTTCTCTACACATGTGAGTCTGTGTCAATGCCAGCATGTTGGGTACAGGTGGGCTGCAGGGCTGTGCCTGGTAGGGGAGGTGCTGACACATGAAATCTTGGAGGTAACCAAAGACTCCAAACTTCTACGCTATGAATGCCTGCATTCTCCCAAAATTCATCCATTGAAACCTACTGTGATAGTTTTATGGGTGGAGCTGTTAGGAGGTGACTGATCCTGAGGGCAGAGCCCTGGTGAACGGGATTAATGTCCTTGTGGAGGAAGCCTGAGGAGCCTATGTGTCCCTTCCATGTGACGGCAGGAGGTTCTACCAGGAGGCACACGCCCACCAGACACTGCCACCATGTTGGTCTGGGACTTACTAGCCCCAAGGACTATGAGAAACAAATTTCTGTTATTTATAAGCCACACCATCTGTGGGATTTATATAGCTGCTCAAATGGACAAATCAATGAGAACTGCTCCTCAGTCCCTAAATACCAACTGCAGGAACTCAGGGGGCCACTGAAGAGCCACCTTGAAGACAAGGTGAGTCTGACTCATGGCATGATCCTAGGCCCAGTCCTCTGTGAGCACCTGGCAGCCTGAGCCCCAGTAAGGAAGAGCCCAGCAGAGCCTGGGCCCCACAGGCAGGCTGCAGGGGTGTGGACATGGAGGGCCTGGATGCTTCCCTCTACAGCCTGGCCAAGGTGGCCCACTCTACCTCTCTGCCTATCAAAATGGCCACAGCCTCTGCCAGTGGCCACCCCACCAGTCAGCATGAGCCTCTTGGGTTGGGTGTGGGTTTCTGTGACCCTATGATGTCACGTTTGGTGTGCAGGAGTCTGCACTGCACAGAGACCTCTCTTCTGAACCCCATGGGTTAGAAACGACCGTGTTTACCTTCTGCTGAAACCACTGCCCAAGCTCCAGTGCTTTCTAGGATTACGGGCAGCCCACATGTGCACGGTGGAGCAGGTGCTTTTTGCTCTGTGGCCCACCTGGCTTCCCACAACTTTTCCTCAGGGTCCCCAGAGAGCGGCAGCCCAGCCTCCCCTGCATGAAGCCCCTGACTCACACCTGACACCCACAAAAACCAGCAAAGGCGGATGCAGCTGTGTGGAGGGCACTCTGACAGGGCAGCAGAGCCTGAATCCCAAGAGATCTGGGGTCTCCTTCATGTCACCAGTGCCCCTCTGACTCTGACCCTGCCCACTCCCCTGCTATCCTGCCTTCTCTACCACCACTAATACCCTCCACCTGGGGTGAGGCATCACTGTATCCAGAAGCTCCCAGGCAGCGCTGGTGCTGGGGGTAGAAAGGACACCGTACCAGGCCATGCTTCTCCTTCAGTCCCCTACCCATGCCATAGCACCCTGCCACCGGGCCTCTGCTCCCATTGCTGTCCCTGCCCAGGATGCTGGCCACCTCCTTAATCTCAAAGCTGGGTCATCCTCACCCCTTTGGCAGTCTGGTGAAACTCAGGGTCTCCTTTTAATGTGTGAAACTGATTACATGGGATTCTGAAGAAAACTATTTGGTGCCGAATTAAACTTCCTAGTATTTAAAGATGCCAATGTGTGGCACAGTGAGACCTGCCCTTCCTAATGAACACATGACACAGCAAGAACCAGCAGTAGGTGTAGTACCGAGTGTGATACCAAAGTACTGATGCGTGTAAAGTCCAACCTGCAGTGACAGGAGGCAGTAAGGAAACACCTGTGCTTTCTGTCAGCCGGAAAGCCACTGCACTGATGTCTACAGCTGTCATGAAGAATATCCTGTGCTGCAGTCACAGGCCAGTGACAGGAAAAGTGGGGTTTTCTCTAGCCAAATTGCGCACCTGTTGAATCTCGTCCTGGGACTACCCGGGGTGTGTAGATCTGGGCTAAGCACGGTGCTCGGAGGCCCAGCCCTACGCTCCACCTGGCCTCCCTGCTATGAATTCAGTCCCATGATGGTGGGCTCTTTGCTCCAAGCCTCAGTTGCCCTCCGTGGTCCCTAGCACTTGTCAAGCATAAGGCACAAGCCCAGGATGTTGATGGGATTACATTTCTACATCTCTTATCCAAAGTAAGGCAAGATGCTAGGACCTGTGGCTTCCCTCAGACACTTGGGAGTCACTGTTGGACACTGACACAGCAGGGGCCCAAGACTGGTCACTGGTAGGGTAGTCCTGACAGCCCCCAAAGGGGTGACCCCTCTTTCATGTGCTTGAGCTCTGGACATTCGCTCCTTCCCCATTGGGAAGGTTTATGGATTCTCTGGTTGGCTGCCCCAGCCCAATCGAGGGCCAGCAGGTACTAACCCAAGACAACACCCAGAAGCCACGCATACAGGGCCAGTACCAAGTGTGCCTCACCTGCTTCACGTTGTAACCGGTCTTTGCGCTGGTCTCAATGAACATGACGCTCAGTTCTTTGGCACGCTGCTCCCCTTCCTCGATGGTTATCTGCCTGGAGATGGGGGAGGGGGAAATCAGTTCTGTGGAAGAGCAGCCCCTGGCAGAGGCGGGGGAAATGATGTGAGACGAGGAAGGACTGCCCCACAGGACAGCGGGAGCTGAAGGGGAGAGAGGGGACAGATGGGCTGTGCAGCCCCGAACCTCTGTGCCCAAGCTCCTACCTCTTGTCTGCCAGGTCCGTCTTGTTGCCCACCAGCATGATGATGACGTCACTGCCCCGCTCTGTCCTGACATCGTCAATCCACTTGGAGGTCTGCTGGAAGGAATTGAGATCTGGAGGCAGAAAGTGAGGATAAACTACAAGTGAGGGATGGCCTCAGAAGGGGACCGGGAGCAGCAGGAGAGAGAGTCTGCACTCTGACTCCTGCCCCAGGGCAGCACTGTCCACACTGGCCAGGCCCACTGGGGGCTCACAGGGAGCAGCGCCTGCCCCACAGCCCTGAGAGCCCTCACACTGCCCAGCTGCCCTTTGAGGGAGTGGGCACTCCAGCTAGAAGGTTACTGTGTCATGATGTCTACCAGACATGGCTTCAGAGGCAAACAGAGCTGGCCATGGTGGCTTAGAGCAGAGTGAAAAATGAATGCACCTGATCTGACTGAGCCGGGAAACTGAGGAACGGAACAGGGGATACAGCAGCCCCTAGGGAAGCGGGAACTCTACAGCGCAGTCTCCTCACAATGGAAGAGTAGGGGAGCAGCTCCCCTCCAGGTAGTCTGGTGAGAAGAGGGGAGGCCAGCTGACAAATCACAGCTGCTTCTTCTCAGGGACTAGCACCTTCTCCCACACTGGCACACTGACACACACACACACACACACACAGTTAGCACAAGGCAGGGGCAGAGAGGCTGGAGCCAGGCCAGCTTCAGCAATTCACCCTCTCTAGCCCTAAGCACTGCATTCCTGTTTTTCAGGAACACACATGTGCATGTGTCTGTAGATCCCTGCGTGGGCAAGGTCACACCTGGGCCCTGGATCCCAACAGTGACCGTCCTTCATGCACAGACCCTTGTCACTCACTTGTGATGTCGTACACCACCACAGCTACCGTGGAGTCCCGGATATAGCTGGGGATCAGGCTGCGGAACCTTTCCTGGCCAGCAGTGTCCCACAGCTGCAGACGAACCTGCAGGGCCAGGGTTGGAGGGGTCAGTGGGCTCCTCCTGCTGTAAAGGGCTGGGGAAACAGCTCTACAATGCTGGCACCACCAGCTCCAGCCCCCCAGGCTAGGCACACTCTCTGGAATGCCCAGTTAAGGATCCCAGGACACAAGCCCATTGGAGCGCCCCTTCTCCTCCCCATTCTAAAATCAGGTGCTCACCGTACGGTCCTCCAAGTACATGGTTTTTGACAAGAAGTCAATCCCAATGGTTGCCTATTGGAGAAAAACACAGAAAGGTCAGAACTGGAAAGTTCTGCAAAGCAAGAGGGAAAAAGCTCAGTGGCCTCAGACAGTGACATAAACCACCAAGAAAGGATATCCATGCCACATCTGGTGCAGGCTCTACAAGCAATGTTCCTCTCAGATGAAGGGAGCCTGAACTAACCATGGGCAAGAGCAATTTTTTAAGGGAGAATATTCTTTGGAGTAGGAGAGAAAAATGGGAAGAAGTGACAAGAGCAAAAGGTACAGAGAACAGATCGCATCCAGAATCTGCCAGCGTTTCCAAATCCTCTCCTCTAGGTCCTGGAACACAGGTGTGGTCTCCCCGCTGTCCTGAGAAGGATCTTGTCACTGGAGGGGAACACAGAGTAGACGGCCAGCCTCTGGTGACAGCACAGCAGACCATGCAGAATGACATCTTGTCAAACACCCCACTGGCTCTCTTCTTCTTAAGCCATGTTGGGGCTTAACTGTCACCAGCATCCCTGTGCCACCCCTGTGCCTCGTTTGTCCTGGCAGCTGGGAGAGGCAGCCAGCCTTGCAACCAGACAGCCACTCATCTGCTGTGTGGCCTTGGCCAGGCCACCCAAACTTGATGGGCTTATGCTCACACAGTGCCATGAGTAGGAGCTAAGACAATTTCAGTGTGAGATGGAGAATCACTGCCGTGCAATTAACAACAAAGACTCAGCCTTGGCCTGAGCGTCCAGAGCATTGATTGGGTGCTGTGTGGTTTCCCACATGATTAGAGTCCTTGGAAGTCGTTTGAAGCCATGTTCTTGAAAAAAAAAAAAAGAGTTTAAGGATTTGGGGAAATGGTCACTGAGTGAAAAAGACACTATACAACACCACGTGTAATGTGATCCCAACTTGACTAACTAAAGTAGATATGAGTATTTTTCATATTTTTTTCTAATATTGAAGTACTGGGATACACTTTGTACCAGTGTCTGAATAGTGACATTATGGGCAAATTTTTGTTCCTTCATTATACATTTTCTACCATGAACATACATTTCTGAATTTAGAAGGAAAGGTCTTTTAAATAAAAACAAAGTTTAAATAAAGTTTCAAAGTGTAGCAAACTATGAATCAATTGTAACTATGAAAAGTACAACCAAGGGAGGCCCATGGAAATAGGAAAGCTCAGGGTCCCAGCACCCTAGATGGAATGCACAAGTGTGCAGTGTGTGTGTGTGTGTGTGTGTGTGTGTGTGTGTGTGTGTGTGTGAGTGCAGGCCTATTAGCTAATAAAATCACATGCTCAACTCATCCCCTTGGGTCACAGAAGGGCTGCCTTTGGAAGGAATAAGGTCACAGAACACAAGCAAAATCACATGCAAAACACTGAACATGGCTGTATCATTCTAGAATTCTGTTTTAACATGAGGTTCCAGGGAGTTACTGTTTGCTGGAGTACAGGCACTGGGCACACATGTTAGACAAAGCCCAAGCCAACCCAACCCGACCCAACTACTTTGGTGATGAAAGCAGAGACCTGGCAAGTTGACCCTGTCAGTCTGTGACAGAGCTGGCAAGCTCAATGCCAAAATCTGGGCAGCACCTGGGCTCTTTGTAGCCTGGCTGTGCAGTGTTCTGCCTAGAGCCACCAGGGAACGAGTCTGGAACATGGTAATGTGGGCACAGCTTCAGTTTTGGGCAGTCACACACCTTCTTTTATTGATGGATCTTGAGGGGCAGTACTGTCTCCTCACACCCTTAGGAGATGTGCAGAGCAGTGAGAAACAACTCAACAGTGGTCATCAGGCTCCTTCCGCGGACTCACTGTTGAGCCAAAGCCACACGCATAGGCTCAAGACGGAAGGCCAAGACTGCCAAATGACCTCAATATATAATTTCAGATGTGTAAAAGGCTCTCCATGGCTGTGAGAGACTCTATTTCCCAGCTTCCTTTGCTGCTGGGCGGCTAAGTTCCAGTCAAGGCTGTACACATCTTCAGGGAAGGGTCCTCTGTGGGTGAATGTGCCCACAGCTGCCTCCTTTGGCTGCATCCTCCAGGTGAAGATGACACAGGAGTGATGACAGATTGACACAGCTTGATTCCTTCATCCTGAGATGCTATCTCAGCAGTGCAAGACTGCTTATTCCCAGATTGTGTGACACAGACTTTATCCTCTGTCTTAAGTCACTGTCATTCTGAGTTTCTGTTAACACAGCCTATTTATACTTACCTAATGACAAAGACCCATGGGGAATTGTATTTCTCAAAGGTCAGCACCTGGATGGTGATGGAGCTGCTACTAATGATGACTGTAACAATGACAACCCTGTTTCACTTCGGCCTCCACGGGGGACAGAGAAGCCACCGGATGGCAAGAAATTATGCCAGTGGGTCACAGCCCAGCAAGGCTCAGTCCAGCAGCCTCCATAATCACAGACACCGTTTACTGCACACTCACGTATCACATCCCTGTCTCATCTTATTGCACAGGCTGACTGCAGAGGCGGCAATAAGGAAACCAAGCTTCTGATTTCTCCAGCTCCCTTGTACCTGCTGCCCACTTCCAAGCTTCTACATTAGCATTAGAGCAGCCTCTGCTTCCTTTACTGTCCCCTCTCTGAGATCTGTCCTGGCAGCCTTCCCTGCCCATCAAGGCCACGGAGCCACTTCAGACTGCCCATAGCAGAGTAGACTGTACTGAAGGACAGGCGCCACCTCTGTACGTGTGATACAGCATCAGCTCTGCCTGATAGAGTATTCAATTTTGTTTTCAATAATGGCGGAACTGCTTGTATTTTAATTTATGAAAAGTACCATAACAAGCACTGAAGAGTGACCCAAAGCAGGAAGCTGATGGAGGACCTGCTATCTCTGAAGGGAGAGAACCACACAGATTCTACATGTGCATGGTTTTTCCCCTGGAGGGTCTGCCGAATCCCGCCAAGTTAAGTGTGTACTTAGTAGACACCTGAGGCTTTCCCCTGGGGCTGCAGAAGGGCTGCCTTTGGAAGGAATGAGGTCATAGAACACAGATTTGTCCTTGTTCTGCTTGATGTTAGTAACAATATTCCATTCTGAACTCCCAAGTCACTTCACATACTTTTTCTCATGCTGTTCCCTCCCCTAGAATGCTCTTCCACATGGTTAATATTTATTAGGAATCTGAGGTTCAGCTCCTCCTCAATCACATTCTGAACCCTCAGATCAGTCCTAGGGTCCCTTATTTAATGCCTCCTCTCCTAAACTGGAAAGATTTCATACTGGTCAGTCTCGGCCACTGGCCTGCGACTCAGTGACCCTCAATGTTTCACCCTGTGGATCACGCACACCAAGCTGTCACTGCCCTTGCCCAGAGAGCACGCTGTATCCGGATCCCTGTGGTCAGAATGTGGTGGTCACTGGCCAAAACAGCTCCGCAGAGCCCATTTCACAGGCAGTCCATTTGCCTCTCAGTGGGAAAAAGTCAGCTCTCAAACAACAGAATACAATCAAGAACTTTTAATAAGGGCTTGGTTGAATCTTGATTATCACACTATTTCTAGCGCCCCAGCATCATCTGTTTTTCCAGACCTGAGACACAGTAGCGGGTCCCACGCTTCTGCCAGCTGGAGTCCCCCTCTCCAGAAAGGTCAGCTCTGCAGGAAGAAGCTGGTGTTCCTCACAGCTCCTGTGCGGTGGACAATGAAGTCATGGGTGCTCACTCACTAACCCCTGAGAGCCTTCTGTGTGCTGGAATAAGCCCTGGTCCCTTCTCACAAGTCACTTCCAGCCCTGGGGAGAAACTGTAACACAGAACTGCTGCCACTGGAACATGAAGAGGGCCAGAGTCCTAGGACGCCCTCTAGGGTCTGGCAGAGGGAGACACTGCCGTTGGCTGATCACTGGAAGAAAGATGGGACCAACATACAGGTCTCTAAATGCAGCTACCGGTGACAAAGATGAGGTTGGGGAGCAGCCTAACCAACCCAGATGGCGGGAGCAGGGAAACTCTGACTTCTGCAATGGCAGAGCCTCGCTTTCAGATTATGATTATAACCTGAGGAAAACATAACAAACAACTCTCTGAGAGCGCTGGAAAATGCCCCATGCGACACTCAAAAGAAGGGACCAGCTCAAGGTGAACTTCCTACTTGTACGACTTCTCCCTAGACTCTTGTCCAGGTAAGGGGTGGCTAAAGGTTGGAAGGAAACCCAGCCTTACTGGCTGAGGAGTTAGAAGAAGAATTACAAAACTACCAGAGCTGCCAGAGGGATAAGACATCTTGGACACGAGAAAGTCCCAGAGAAAGGACCCCAAGGTCTACAAACAAATGCTGCCCAGTTTTCTTGACTGTCCCAAGCAGACCCTAAGCAACTTACCTAACACAAAACAAAATAAAACAGAAACAAACAAAAGGCATTTGAATAGAACTTTTAGTTGCTCCTTACCTTGGGGGAAAAAACTGAGAATTGAGATCCAGATAATTTAGCTGCCAGCTAAAACAACCAATAAGTATTTGCCAAAGAAAACTGTTACTGTTATATCTAAATGACCTCCCAAAGCCTCATGTGCTCATGTGGGAGGTGACCAGATCATGGGGGCACTAAATGTCTCCCAGAGGATGGATCCTAGTTGGAAGAGGTGGGTCACTGGGGATGTGATCCTCCCTGGGTACTCCCTTCCCTCTCTGTTTCCTGTTCACCATTAGATAAGCAAGTTTTCTCTACCAGAACTGACTACCACACCATCCTGCCCAATCATGGACTAAAAATGTGAGCCCAAATTAAGTTGCATGTGTTGGGTATTGTGTTCCAGTAACGAGAAAGTGACCTAAGACACAAACAGAACCCACAGACTTTACCACAATGTGTAAGATATGATGAAAAACTAACATATGAAGTGTGAGGAAAATGTAAGCAATCTTCAACAAAAAAATAAATAAATACAATGCCCTGAGATGGCCCAGATGTTAAAAGTAACAGAAAAATTTAAAATAGTTAATATTATGCTCAAATATATAAAGAAAATCATAACCACAATAAAGACACA